AGGCTAGATGATTTGTTCAGGTCCCTCCTGACCCTAGCTACTATGAAACTACGAAACCTCAACTCTCTCTCATCTTGCCCTCAGCCAGCTCTGGGAACCAGAAAGCATGGGTCCAAGCACTCCACCACCCCACTTCCAAGTCAGGGAAGCATGCTGCAGATTTTAACCAATTACAGGCTACTGAAATTTAATGAGATATATTTAGGAAACAACGGAAAGCAGACAAATTAAAATGTCCCCTGCCACAGGTCCCCCATGCCCTGGGACCCCCAAAACATGAGTGCACTGTAAAGGTAAGCTGGGCTGGGTGCTTATTCCCATCTGCTGGTGTCAGAGCCACAGCACTTCACATGACTGTGAACCAGTTCTCAAGTGGTGCTAATGTGAACTGGTTCAATTGTGATGCGTGTCTGCACCCAGAGGCAAGTTTTTAAATGCTTGGGAAACGAGACCGACCGGGAATTGGGCAAAACTGTTTGTTGGGCTGATGGGGGTGTGAGGAAGGGAGTCTTGTTTCTGTTGGCAGCTCCTTCCCAACAAAAAGCAATGATACACTCCTGAGTAACCAAAACATCAAACCATTCAGGGTTTTAAAAAGCACTAAGTGTTCTCAGAACAGGATTTAGAGTTTAAATTTCGGCATGTTTAATGTCAGAATATATTGGGAAGTCACTTTCCTTTTGTTCATAGTACCTGTTTCTGAAGTGTTATCATCCATGAGTTTTTCCTGTGCAAGGTGAAGTGTGTCAAGCATCGCTTCGAATATATCATCCAGAAGCCCGGCCTGCTTGCACTTCCGAAGAAAATCTATTCTTACTGTGATACATAAAGATATATATTAACATTTGCATTTACTAGAACTGTTTTTCAGCATGGCGATTGCAGGTCACTGTCCCATAAAACTCTGTAACAGAAGCTGTTCTTCTCTCTCTTCTAACTGGTTAGAACACTAATGTTAACCAGCAGATTTCTTGGTGGTCTAGCTCTGCTCTCACAACTCCCTTCAGATGTACTCTGACCCTCTTGTGTCCCAACAGGTACTGCACAAGGATTTTTAATCCCTCTGGATCCCAGATCTGCCTTTAGTAGTCAAGAGGATTGCCATCACAATCCTTTGGATTCACTTCTAATTCTTCCCTTTCTTTCTGAGAGTTGCTCCATGGATGGCTCAACAAGAGGAAAGAAAGAGGCCTAATGGAGCAAACTGAATTAGATTTTGTTGGAAAATAGTATATATTCCTGGCCTTTAGTCTCTAGTGATACAGCACTTAATTTACCTTACCACAAGCCCATCTCATATGGCTGTTTTATTACAGCTGGGCTATGAGGAAAATATAAATACCCACTTTTCCCAGTCTTTCTTAGGACACCAGGTCAGTTATGAATAATGCCAAGATTAATAGGCTCTTTGAAAGTAAAAAGGATGTGTATATTTAGTTAATTTAGTAGAACACAGATTCTTTACAGAGTTAAGTTCTTAACCCCCTGCAAAAAGCGGGGTTTATGAAGTAACTAGGGGTATGCAGGGCCTCAGCAACCTACTGCAAACTACACAGGTTGCAAGCCACCCAAGTATAAAAATCCTGGCTCTACCATGCAACATGACATTCCTTTTTCTTCTTCAAAAAAAACCTGGCTACATTTGTAAAAAATGGACTTCACTAGAATGTATAACATCCTATTATTAAAGCAAGCAATCGCCTTTAAAGAGGGTTCACTATTGGCAAACCCTCTAAAACGAGTTACTATTCACTTTCTGCATTTAATCTTTTCTTAAGGACTCTTGCATAAAACAATGCGTCTTACATTCATCTTACATACAATTAGTCTAGTTCAGTTTTCTACCCTGAATTATAACCTTATCTTTCTGCATCAATTACCTGCTATATAGAGGATTATGAACATTAGAACTTCAGTTGGAGAAAAGTTACAGAAAGAAGCACCATTTTAATTAAAAAAAAAAATATAGAAAGGGATGTTCTAAATTAGAGGCGATTGAGAGAAGGGAAATTAAGCTCTGTTTACACTAGAGATGCTATTTTCAATAGACAAGTGTTCTGTCATTTACTATGACAAACAGTTTTCTAATCTTTAAAATATGATTTTAGTATATGCATATTCAAGTAATACTTTGCTATTCTTCTTTAAATATTATACGAGACTCGATGAATTTAGCCAATAAGTGCCACTATCATCTTCCAACCCTTTTTAATATGAACTATCTATATTTGGAAGAGTAGTCCTAATTATTATAAGGGTGCTTTTTGTTCATTGGAAAGATCTGGAAGACAACTTCGTCCCCAGGGCAAACTGTTGCACAACCTGTTTTACCACAGAAAAACTGAATTACAAAAAGTAAAACCAAAATATAAGTACGCACTACACAATGATTTGCATTCAAGTAACAATGTGAGGGTGTTTCCCATTTGAGGTAATACTTTCATTTTCGCCTGATAAAATGTGAAGGTCAGATTATCACTCAATGATTAGTGAGCAGTAATCTTCAGATAGGCAGCATACTGAACCATACATCTCATTTCTACACTGACTGCTGACCTCAATTCCCTCCCCAAGTACCAGTAACCACAATTAATAGTCAGATCAACTTCTGCCCTGCTAAGTCATCCGCTCCCTGACTCGTCAAAAGAAGAATAGCCTGTTTCCTCCTCCAACTAACAACAATTCCTCTTAAATATAACTATATTTAAAACCCGGAAGGAAACTACACAGAACCTTTCCTTGCTGATCAGAGTTTAAGAGGAAAGGCTAAGAAAACATACAGCTGTGATTTTCTTTCTGGAGAGCATCTCTGAGCTCACATTGATTACTTCAGTATATGTGATTATAATACCAACCAGTTATCATTAATATTAAAGGTTTATCAAACCTTTGTGTCTGTTATTGTTCCTTAGAACTCGTAAACTATTCTCTTCTGCTGTTTCCTCTGTGCTCTATTATGAGAGAGAGAAATATTACATTTATACCAGTACTGACATTTACTGCTTAGTTGTTTTCAGTCTATCTCCATATTTACTAAAAGATTTAAAACCAAAACAGTACAATACTTAACTGCCTTTTCCCCCACAACAGTCAGTCATTCTGCTTGAGTGTTTAGTTGATTATTCCCACTATAAACCATTCTAGGACAAAGTGCAAGCATACCAACATCTACATCCACTATCCCAGGATAAATCTTAAAAAGGTCTCCAGATAAAAAGTAGTAATGATTCATCCCAGGATATTGCAAAGCATTTCTCCACTGTTATCATGGGATTGCATCACTGAATTAATGGCAAAACAAGTGGCATTTCATTTGACCATACACTAACGCCGATTAGAAGAATAATGCGTGTACATGCCAATTCCAGGACATTTTTGTTCTGGGACAAGTGGGTACAATTTATCCAAGGACAAACACAACATCTGTTTCTAGCCAGAGATAAACTTTTGGGGACAAATTAATCTAGCAATAAAAATAATATTTTAAAGTTCAAAGGATTCTTCACACCTTCCAGTTTAGTCTCCCTTTCACCTCTGGGTCTTGGAGTTGTAGCAACTGCTGAGGAAGGCCAGATATGGCCTCCTTTGGAACTTGTCAGGAACTCCCCTCCCCTCAACCACAAGGATTTCCTGGCCTCCTGAAGTAAGGATAGCATTCTTCAGCAAAAGACCAAAAGAGCTGTGCTCTTGTTCTCGATTCTGATCCCTCAGGGCAGTCACTGATTTATTAAGACAGGAGTCTACACAGCTTGGCATCATAAAGACCTTTATAAATTCCAGGTGAAAACTTGTAGCAACCACTGAGAATAAACTATACACTTGCATATTTGGAAAGCCTAGCCCTGCTGAAAGCAATGGATGTTTTGACACATTCTTCAAGGCCAGATTATCATGCTCAATCCATATAAACTGCAGCTAGAAGTTTGCCCAATATAAAAATCCACATGCAATATCCAAAATACACAATCCCACCCCCACCAAAAAAAGAGAGTCAGACATTTTGACCTGTGCACTTCATTAGGGTTCAGAAGGTGTCTTAAAAGTGCAACACCAAGAGAAACTTCATGTTTAAAGTAAAAAAACCCTGCTACATCTACCTCTACTGAGGTTTATCAAACTAAGTGCAGGTGCTAGTTGAAGTCAGCTGGGTGTGGACACATCTACTTTTGGACCCTTTCAAAAGGGGAAGTTTCAAGATGGCACCAGCTGCTAGGTCCTAGCTGTTAGGTGTGAAAGAGCTAAGGATTAAAATGTAGCAAAACCACTTTTACTCCTGGATGAAGTGGTATTAAAGCTGGGTTTGTGCTCCGTTTACATTGTTCTCAACTCATTCACACAAAGCATAACAGCTGCTGCCCTTTTTGAACATTCCCCTTTTGAAAAGGCTCCACATGTACCTGTTTTTATACCTTTTATGCCCTATTAAAACATTTATGGAAGCCACTCCAAGGGCTCACTGGGCAATGGTAATATATTATTTTGCCAGTGCAACATCTCCAGTGTTTAACAATAACAACCTCTTATTGCTTATGATCTTTTTTATGGCATCTGTCCATCAGAGAGTGATGGTGGATATTGCAGCTATTCCGACTGGTGGTGCATTTACTCTTGTGGGCCTAGTACCCTGGAAATTCACAAAAAAATGCAAGTCACAGTCAGAGTCCTGGAGCCAGATTTACCCTTCATTGTATTGACCAGAATCTCACTACAGTTGCACTGAATTACACCAGGGTAGAATCAGACCTACCCCAGGTAACTCTGAATGTGAACTGTATTGCTTTGAAGGCATTGCAAGATCAAAATAAAGAATAAAAAGCAGCTGTTTGGGAAATGCTGTTCCTATACACCAGAGCTTTCCAAACTGTGTGCCGCGACACATTATTGTGTCGGCGGCAGTGTGTAGGTGTGTCGCGCGAAATGCAGAAAATTTTGCAGAAGGGCACCGCGGAGCTCCCTTACTCACGTCTGCTTCCCTTGGCCCCTCCCCCGGAACTGAATTACTGTGTCACGAAATGATGCATGTCTAAAAAGTGTGTCACCAACATGAAAAGTTTGGAAAGCTCTGCTATACACAATTGTAATGCATATTTATTTTCTGAATAATCTGGCACCAGTCTGTTACAGTTTTTAGAAGCATGGACCTTTTAGTTTTTGAATAGAGCTACTTAAATTCAAAATTACCATTGCTTCCCTGATGGTGGAAGATATCATTGACTGCCTTCTCCTCCTACTGACTGCATCTAGAAATCAAGAAACGATACTGTAATAATGTAACATTAACAACATTAAACTGACATTTTTAGATAGATGTTTTACACTTGATTTGGGTATCTTTCTGAGGGGTATAAAAAGACAGACACTTTGGATAACAAAACAACAGTATATTTCAGCTGCCCTGACTTTCTTATATTTCAGCTAAGTTTTTATTATTTCCATGCATGATAAAGTATAGCATAGTTAGGAAAGTCAAAGAAGGATAAATTATTGTACATTTCCTAGGCAGATTTCTCTTTTAGGAAATATACAATAATTTATCCTTCTTTGTCTTTCCTAACTATGCTATACTTTATCAGACAGATCATGGTCAGGGAGGTTGCTCCATAAGGGGCATCGCGAAGGAAGGCAGGCCTTGGGTGGATTAAACAGGTCATCGTAGAGTGGTAGGTAAGGTGCAGTACAAATGGTTTTGACCAACTTCTGGGTCATCATCAGTTGACGGATGTGTGGGGGAGTGATATTTGCAAGGATGGGAAGCCAGAGGAGGGGAGGATTCCAGTTTTGATATGCATGGTTGTGTTCAGCTGAGTGTCAACAAGATGCGTGCGTGATGACTTTTGCCAAACAGGTACACAATACTCTGCTGCTGAGTATGATGGGGCAAGAGCTAAGGTCCGGACTGCTGTGGCTACAGCTCAAGTTGATCCAGCAAGCTTGGCTAGTAAGTTGTTTCGGGATTTGATCTTTGCTGCTGTTTTCTTTAAATGTTCCCAGAAAGTCAGGGTTCTATCTAAAGACACTACACCAAGCATGTTGGGCAGGGATCATGCTTTAGTCTCTGACCACCTGTATAGATGTTAAGTTCTTTTTTGGCACTAGCATTGTGGAGATGAAATACACTGGATACAGTTTTGGCAGGACTTGGTGTGAGCCATCATATGGTGCAGTAGTCTCCCAGCTTTGTCACATCTTCATTCAGGGTCTGGTCCAGAGTGCAGAAAGATGGATCTTGAGTAGTGTAGTAGATGTTATCAGCATAGATGAACTTGCAGGATGTGGTTGCTGGTAGATCATTTATGTATAAGTTGAACAGGGCTGGGGCCGCACTGAGCCCTGTGGAAGTCCACTGGCTGGTCTCCTCTACACACTTATCCCCTGCCCAAGGTGGACTCTGGATCATCTGTTATGGAGAAGTGTTTTGACAACTATAACGACCCAGCTTAGAAGTACTCTTGACAGCTTTAGAAACAGGCCAGTGTGCCATACTGTATCGTAGGCAGCCGTCACGTCCAGTAGCACTAGGCCTGTCTTCAGGTTCTTCTGAAAACAATTTTTGATGTAGGTGGTAAGTGCCAGTACTTGATTACATGCACTGAGGCCCTTGTGGAATCTGGCTTGATCAACGCTAAGGATGTTCTCTATTTCTGGGGATATCCATTCTAAAATGAGGCGCTCAAGGACACTGTAGCACACAGACAGTAGTACAATTGGTTGGTAGCTGGCCACCAATGTGAGGTCCTTGCCAAGTTTTGGAATGGCAAAAACTTTTGCCATATGCCACTTCTTTGGGAATGACCTTGAGCTGATGATCCTTGCACAGAACTGGATCAGCCACATGTGAGCATGGGGTCCAGGTTGTTTCAAGAAATCTGGTAAGATGTTGTTGTAAACAGCAGCATTGCCATGTTTCATGCTGTTTAAGACTTTTTTCCCAGTTCAGCGACTTCAAAGGGGTCCAGGCTGTTATATTCCGTGTGTTGCTTCCGATACTGCTTCAGTTCATGATGAATGGTGCGCTTTGTATTCTTTTCCAGTGGTGCCTTGGCTACACGTAGTAGGTGACTGGCAATTTGGCTTGGGGTGACTGATGGACGGTTTGGTGCAGGTGGTTTTTGGGCTGCAAGGCGGTGGATTATGCTCCAGCACGTCTGGCTAGAATAAGTGAAGTTTAGCTCTTCTGTGGTTGCTTCCCATTTCAAGTTGGGAATGAAGCAAGCTAAATCAAATTAAAGTTACTTTATTCTGAAGAAGAGTATGCACACAAGCATTTAAATGCAACTTAAATCCATCTTAATTGCAGGTGTGAATTTAAAGTCATACTTTTAGTTAATTCAGATTAAAATTTTCCTGGTTGCCCTGGTGTAGATAAGTCTTTAAAAGCTGAGGAGTTTCAATTGGTTGTACTGAAGTATATGAAATGATCCTTGTTTGTGGTTTGTTAAATTTATAAAGTTCCACAGGATCTTTCAGAATAGCAGGCAATATTCAAAAGTATGATAATGAATGTGGAGAATGCAAATTTGAAAAGGTTTGATGCATATAACTTGGGAGGACATTCTGGACTGAATGCACCTGTTTTCATCTCATCTTGCAAGCTAGAACAATCCAGGTCCTAACTAGTACACAGATGGGAGACCACCTCAGAATCTTAGGTGTCATACATGCAAGAACTCAAGGGTGGCAAGCTTTCTATTGTTCAATTATTAAATATTAAAAAATACTCTACTGCTATAGAAATCAAGTGAACAGCAAGACCCCATCATTTATTCCTGAGCTGATGGTTGGGAATGAAAAGAAAGGAAGTAACAAATAAACTACAAGTGATAAGAATCCCAATGATCTGTTATAACAAAGTTCAGTGTCTACTTGCCTAATAAATTGTGATCATAGTGCCAAGCACATGCTTTTACAAGACATTTTGCTCAATCCAGCAGCCGAAAAGTACACGAGATAAAAACACCTGTGAAGTCACAAAATCTATTTGAGAAGTAAAATACTTAATTCAAATGCTAGTGCCAGTCAACTTGTAAAAACAGGATCCTGTCAGCACAGGTGAAAAATGTAAACCTTTATACTGAAAAATTTAAACCTTTAACACAAGGCCACATTTCAACTGGTATAAATCAGTATAGAATCATAGAAAATTAGGGTTGGAAAGGACCTCAGGAGGTCATGTAGTCTACCATTTCTCAACCCGTGGGTCATGACCCAAAAGTGGGTCACAAGAATATTTCACAGGGTCGCGAGCAAATGCCAGAAAAACGTGTGGAAGAGCAGGTTTCCCCTTGCAGGCTGGCAGCAAGCAGCTGCTTGGTGTGTGGCCAGCACACAGCAAGGCAGGGTCATGGGAACAGCCCCAGCAGCCAGATGAAGGTAAGTGTATGGGGAGTGAGCGTTGGAGGGCTAAAGCTTGGGGACTGCTGGGGTGGGGGGCATGGGTTGTGTGCACGCACGCATGTGTGTCTGTACGTGTAGAGGATGGGTGTGGGGGAGGAGGGCGGGTAGGTGCCTGCTGGTACTGGGGGAAGGTGGCCGGGCACTGAGGCTGTGGCAGGGCAGGGGGGACGAGGCACTGGGTCAGGCACCAGCAGGGCCAGGGAGGTGCGAGTCCGGACAAGCCAATCTTTGCAAATGGGTCCCAGTACGAAAAAGGTTGAGAACCACTGATCTAGTCCAACTCCATGCTCAAATCAGGACCATCCCCAACTAGATCATCCCAGCCAAAGCTTTGTCTAGCCAGGTTTTGAAAACCTCCAAGGATGGAGATTGCATCACCTCTCTGGGTAACCTGTTCCAGTGCTTTACTACCCTCCTAGTGAGAAAATTCTTCCCAATATCTAACCTAAACTTCCCTTGCTGCAACTTGAGACCATTGCTCCTTGTTCAGTCATCTGCCACCACTGAGAACAGTCTAGCTCCATCCTCTTTTGAACCCCACTCCAAGTAGTTGAAGGCTGCTATTAAGTCCCCCCTCAGTTCTCTCTTCTCCAAACTAAATAAATCCAGTTCTCTCAGACTGTCCTCATAAATCATGCCCCCCAGCCCCCTCACTATTTTAGTTGCCCTCCACTGCATTCTCTCCAATTTGTCCACATCCTTTCTATAGGGGGAGGGCCCTAAACTGAATACAGTACTCCAGATATGGCCTCATCAGTGCTGAATAGACAGATAATCACTTCCCTTGACCTACTGGCAAGACCTACTAATGCAGCCCAATATGCCGTTAACCTTCTTGCTAACGAGGACACACTGCTGGTTCTTATTCAGCTTATTGTCCACTGTAACCCTCAGGTCCTTTTCTACAGAGTTGCTCCCCAGCCAGTCAGCCCTCAGCATGTACCAATGCATGGGATTGTTCTGTCCTAAGTGCAGGACTTTGCAAGTGTCCTTGTTGAACTTCATGAGATTCCTTTTGGCCGAATCCTCCAATTTGTCTAGGTCACTCTGAATCCTAACCCTATCCACCAGCATATCTACTATTACCCCGAGCTTGGTGTCATCTGCAAACTTGCTGAAGGTGCACTCTATGCCATCTTCCAAGTTGTTGAAGAAGACATTAGACAAAACCAGCCCACAGACCAACTCCTGGGGCACTCCACTTGATACCACCTGCCAACTAGACATCAAGCCATTGATTACTACTCTCTAAGCCCAGTGCTCTAGCCAGGTTTTTTTTTAATCTACCTTACAGTTCATTCATCCAGCTCATACTTCCTTTGCTTGCCTACAAGAATGCTGTGGGAGACCGTATCAAAAGCCACATCCTTGCTAAGGTACACCATATCCACTGGTCTCCCCGCATCCACAGAGCCAGTCACCTCATCATAAAAGGCAATCAGGCTGTTCAGGCATGACTTGCCCCTGGTGAATCCATGCTGACTGTTCCAAATCACTTTTCTCTCCTCCAAGTGCTTCGAGATGGATTCCTCGAGGATCTGCTTCATGATTTTTCCAGGGACTGAGGGAAGGCTGACTGGTCTGTAGTTCCCTGGATCCTCCGTCTTCCCTTTCTTATATATGGGCGCTACGTTTGCCCTTTTCCAATCATCTGGGACCTCTCCTGATTGCCATGAGTTTTCAAAGATGATGGCCAGTGGCTCTGTAATCATAACAGCCAACTCCCTCAGCACCATCAGGTGCATCCCATCTGGCCCCATGGACTTGTACACAGCCAGCTTTTCTAAACAGTCCCCAACCTGTTCTTTCACCATTGAGGGCTGCTCACCTCCTCCCCAAACTGTGCTGTCCAGTGCGGTAGTCTGGGAGCTGACCTTTCCTGTGAAGACCGAGGCAAAAAAGGCATTAAACATTTCAGCCTTTTCTGGATCCTGTCACAAGGTTGCCTCCCCCATTCAGTAAGGGACCCACACTTTCCCTGATCCTCCTCTTGCTACCAACATACTTGTAGAAACGCTTCTTGTTACCCTTCGCATCCCTTGCTAACTGCTACTCCAACTGCACTGTGGCCTTCCTGACTTCATCCCTGCATGCCTGATCAATGCTCTTACAGTCTTCTTTAGTTATTTGTCCAAGCTCCTTTACAGTTCCTAATTCAGAATGTTTCCATTTTATGCTTTTAAAAGTTTAGATGGAATAACTCAGGAAGACCCCTATAGTCACTTCTTAGGTACAACACTTAAATTTTCTATACAAAGTACATGGATCTCAGCCAAATCATGACTACAAAATTAAACACACTGTTGGAGTTTAACCCACCATTCCAGATAGTAATTAATTTAAACAAAGTAACGTCACTGACTCTGACATAGGTTTTAAAAATAAATTAAATGAAACTAACCATTAAAGAAACTTACCATAGTGATTGTTCCTATTGCCTGGGTCATGTTTTGGACAGAACACCCTGAAATATTGGTTACATTAAAAAAGAGAGAGAAAGAAAGAAATTATATTACCTCATGCAAACATTGTTCTACCTTTGTTTTAAAAGATATTTCTTTAGAAACCAACCAAAAACTCTCAGAAACAGAAAACCTTCAAGGAAAACCAGAATTTAGTAAAATAACCCATGGTTAGCCTTGGAAAGGCACTTTTATCAAATACAGTATAACCACATTCCTGAGCTCCTATTTGTAGAGCACAGTTGAACTCACAAGGCCCTTATAAACAGCTCATTTAAAATGTTACCAGTCACCCCACTCTCTTACATCCCATGCCTATCTGCTGCTTAAGTAGAGTAGCTAAGAGCTGCCTAATTCCATTCTTTCCTTAAAAAGTTCAGTAATGTGGTGGGAGTAGTTCATCCCAACTCGCAGATTTTAAAAGAGCAATGTGGCTCTTGTATAAGAGACTAACAAAAACAGGTATAGTAACATCCTTATATAGAATCACAGAAAATTAGGGTTGGAAGGGACCTCAGGAGGTCACCCCCTGCTAGATCATCCCAGCCAAAGCTTTGTCTAGCTGGGTCTTAAAAACCTCCAAGGACAGAGAGATTCTACCACTTCTCTGGGTACTTGTTTTAGTGCTTTACTACCCTCCTAGTGAAAGAGGTTTTCTTAATAGCTGACCTAAACTTTCCTTGATGCAACATGAGACCATTGCTCCTTGTTCTGTCATCTGCCATCACTGAGAACAGTCTAGCTCCATCCTCTCTGGAACCACTCCAAGTACTTGAAGGCTGCTTTTAAATCTCTCCTCAGTCTTCTTTTCTCCAGACTAAATAAGCCCAGTTCTCTCAGCCTCTCCTTAGCAGTCATGTACCCCATCCCCCTCACCATTTTTATTACCCTTCACTGGACTCTCTCCAATTTGTCCACATCCTTTCTGTAGCAGGGGCCCCAAAACTGGAAAACAGTATGGGAAGAATCACTTCCCTCCATCTGCTTGCAACAGTCCTACTAATGCGGCCCAGTATGCCATTAGCCTTGTTCATAGCAAGGACACGCTGCTGGCTTATATTCAGCTTATTGTCCACTGTAACCCCCAGGTCCTTTTCTGCAGAGCTGCTGCTTAGCCAGTTAGTTCCCAGCCCATACCAGTATAATTTATATACCAAATAACAAATTACATAAGAACAGTTACTTTCCTTGAGAACACCAAGCAACCTTCCCTCATTTATAAAAAGACCGTTTTTTTCCAGAAGGCTCCCAACACACTTTTCCAACTTCGTTATAATGCTATAGTTGTGGCCAAGAAAGTATTTCCATTCATTAAAAATCTCTATCTTAAAGAGCACAGACTAGCATTAAAATCATTTGAAGATATAGTTTTAAAAAATTAAGATGCAATTATGTGCACATTCTAATTTGTTAACACAGTCATAATTTTAAAAATCCAGATTTTTTTAAAGCCCAATTTTATATGTGCAACCGTGGTGACTATTCATTTCCGTTTAGCAATCTGGCCCTTGTGCACACACAATAATTTAGTCAACAAATCTTTGCACGCAAAGCGCCATGGCAGGACCCACTGCATATTAAATGCTCATAAATGTTGCCTTTGTTGTGTATTCCTTTTTTGTTGAGCACGTTGCAATGACAGAGAAAAGAGACAAATAAGAGACAGAGGAGAGAGAGAAAGAAAAAGAAGAGCAGAGAGAGAACCAGACACGCACACAGAGAACCACATGCACAAACGCAGAGAACCAGAACACACCCAGAACAGGCACGTGCACACACACATCCAGAACCAGACATGTGCGCACACAGACACAAAGGACCAGACAGAGGCAGACAAACACACAACCAGATGCACGGGCACGCGTAACCGGGTTCCTGGGCCACTGGACAAAGTCTGCTCCGAGGCATGCGTGCACCTGCCAGTATGGAGCCGGGAGCATATGTTTGCAGCCTCACTACTTAAACTAACAACATTGTTAGCTTTTTGTATAGTGCCTTATGACCTCTTCTCATTTTAATTGTATTCTTGTCAATTCTCTGAATTGCTGCCAATCATCATGCTGATAGTTTTAAATTCTAAACCACTGTCAAATCCTTAAGGCTAAGTTACATATAAACTGCTTTAAGTGATTGGAAACTGGTTTAAACCTGTAACAGAACAGAAGTTCAGTGCATATAAACAGCTTTTAAAATGGCTGAACCCAGTTTAAGATAAAACTGGATGGATGTAGCATCAGACTTAACTGCTTTAGATTAAACCAGTTTATGGAACTTCTGTCCCAGATTCCCTTCCAGCTCAAGTTAACCCACAGTCCTCCCAGCATCCTAGGATTCTTTGAAGCCCTGGGATGTGCTGTCTGCTCCAGCAGAGCAGGACTGGCCACACCCTTAGTTGTCACAGAGCTAAGGCCTCTGCTCCCTAACCTGCACCTACCAGCTTAGTGGGATGGGAAGCAGGGGAATGGACTCCTAGATTGACATAACCTGGGGCTGCACAGCACAAGGGGAGAGAAAGCCCCCACAGCATGGCTTTTTGTCCCCTGCTGCTGATTGGCCAAGAGGCAAAAACCGCAGCAAAAATAAGAGAGCAGAAATGATGCCGTTCACTACGAGATGTTGCCAGGCTTTTGGTAGGTTGAGAAACACCATGGATTTCTGTGCGTTTTAAATGGAGATTTTCCACTTTCTTCTGCACAGAAAACTAGGATCCCTGTTTATCATCCCTGAGTGCACCTCTTATATCTTTGTCATCTAATGGTCTCACCGATTCTCTAGGTGCACATTCCAGCTTCTGATGTATTTTAAATGTTTTTAGAAATTTAACTTTAGCATCTTTTGCTAGATGCTCCTCACCTCAAATTCTTTTTTGACCTGCCTTGTTTCACTTGAACTGCCAGAGTTTGAGAGCGTTTCTATTTTCCTCATTTGGGCACACCTTCCATTTTTTGAAGGATGCCTTTTTGCTCCTACATCAGCTGTTACCACACAGGAAAGAGACCTGGGAGTCATTGCGGATACTTCACTAAAAACATAAGCTCAATGTTCAGCAGCCACCAGAAAGGCAAAAAATATATTAGGGATTATTAAGAAAACTGTAACTAAATCAAAGTACCAGTATGCCCCTTTATAAACCTATGGTGTGTCCACACCTTGAATACTGTGCCCAGTTCTTGTCCTTACACCTTAAAAATGATATTGAAGAACTAAAAAAGGTACAGCAAAGGGCAACAAGGATTATTTAGTGGTATGGAGAGGCTTTCATATAAGGAGAGACTAAAGAGGCTAGGCCTATTCAGTTTAGAAATGAGACATTTGAGAGGGGAACATAATAAAGGTCTACAGAATACTAAATGGCAGAGAGAAAGTAAAAAGGGATTTATTATTTACTAGCTTTCACAATACAAGTAATAGGGGTCATAAAAAGAAATGAGTAGGTAGTAAGTTTAAAAGGAAATTCTTTGCCACCAGATGTTATAGAAGTTGACAGTTTAGCCAGATTCAAAAAGGGATTGGAAAAGTTTTGGGAGGCAAGGTGCATCAGTAGTAGGAATAATAATTCCTATTATTAAGGGAACTGGATAGGAAGTTAGGGGTACAGCCTCTGAATCAGAATTTCCTAGCCTTTCAAATGCTGGAGGCTGAGAGAGAGGAACAGTGGAATAAAACCTGATCATACTCAATTCCCTTTCAGCATCCATTCTGCCACTGTGTGAGAGAATACTGGGAAAGATGGACCTATACGGTCTGACCCAGTAAACAGCAGTTCTTATGTTCAATTTAGAAATCTATCAGTAATATTCTCATGAATTTTGTCACAACCCAAGGGTGTGATTTTTGTTTTGTGAGTGCTTCGGCACTGCTAAATTGTTCCCGCTAAATTGCAGCTTCTTTGCATGGTGGAGTTTTCTGCTGCAGAGGAAAACCCCGGTGCAAAAGAATTCCCGCCACCAGTAGCTTTCTTTGCAGGGTGCATTTCTTTGTTGCAGCACAGAAATGCACGTTGCAAGGAGTTCCCGCCATTCGTATTCAAATTTGTGCAACCATCTGGAGGAGGAGATCTTCACGTCTCGTGAAGATCTCTAAGCGCTGCGGAGCCTATTGGACCCAGCGTGAATATCAAGAAGGCAACAGGGGTCTGATCAGCCTCTAGCCTCTCCCCGTCACCGAGCGCAATCCTCGACATATCCCTCTCCCTGCGCGCACAAGTTCCACGGAGCCTAGCAAGCTTCGTGTGAGTCTATTCAGAGCTCTTTTCTTCGAGTACTTTCTTCGGTTGGCGTGACGGGCTTGCAGTTTAGAGCCTCCAACTGGATGGGCTAGAAGAATGTTCACGGGAAGGAACTCTAGTCCACCTCTCTTCTTTTCTATCTGTAACTGCAACTCAAGCAAGTTTTCCTGCCTGCACCGCGACCATCTTCGGTGTAAGTAAATAATCTTAAATCAACCATTAAGCGTCCATGACTAATTCTAGCGTGTCGCCTGTTTTCTCTGACCCAGCATGCCCGGGCTGCTGGCCACAGCCTGCGCGGCGTGAAAAAGGGCCCGGATCGCTCCCAGCCTGCACAAATTTAAATAAGAGTCTTATGTAACTGCATTAGAAGCCTTCCAAAGTCCAGATCAGTTGCGTTTTACTTGTTTCCGTTTTCATTAAGCTAGTGTTAAACACCACAACCGTTTACTAAATGTGAAACTATCCAATTCATTCTCTAACAGCTTCTTAAAGATACATTTCCAGTATGCAGAAACACATACCTGGAGTCTCTCAGTTCAGTGTATTTTTACATAACTTATGACGGCATCTTATAACAGCTATTTTTGCTTTCTTTTTCCAGAAAGCACATATTTTTAATCTCCTTAGCAAGTTTTGTGAGCCTTGGTATCCCCAACTGTAAAATGGGGGTGGGGGGTGGTAACATGACACTAACTTATTAATATCTGTAAAGCATTTGGGAGTCTTAAAAACTAACCATCTGTTCAGCATAGTATAACCAAGCCAGTAGCACAGCTGAGAGAATTAAATTCCTACAAGGATTATTTCTGTATTTGTGGAACATGCCCAAATAACCCAAGATCCTGCCCAAATAACCCAAGGACGCATTAAATTAGGCAGGTAAAGAACTAAACTCCTTGTAATGTTTTGCCTCTTCCTGGAACATGTAACAACAACAGCAACAACAGTCAACACATCCAATGGCAGGGTAAGCTTCCACTGTTATTTTACCCTGGCACAGAAACAAGCACCGTTGATTCATTCCAAATCTTACAAAGCATTAGTAACCTTCACAGCTAGCTGCAATCCAAACACTCAGGCCCACCTCCAGCCCAAGACAGAGAAACTCCCTCCTCTGAACACCCAGTGCCATCTAGTGGCTGTAATTTATGAAGCACTCCTCTGAACACCCAGTGCCATCTAGTGGCTGGAATTTATGAATCAAGTGAATATTCCACAACTATCATGCTCGGGAAGTACTTAGAAGTACCTTGGCTATAAATACATCTCTTGATACTCAGAACACACATGAACTAGAAGTTTTTGTCTACAGATACAAAGCTTTCCACTAGCATTCCAGATGCTGAGCCAGAGGAAAGTTACCAAACCTGTTTAATACAGATGGAGCAGGAGTCTTCAACCTATGGCCCGTGAAGAGATTTTATCCAGTTCACTAAGCACAAATATTTATATATTCCGTCTTTACTAAGTTTTGCTTCTAGGGGAGGAATATTACCAACTGCTGATGACCCCCAGCACACCACAGAACCAGGTTGTGTCCATTTGGTCTGTTGTAAGTAAAAACCCTGACCTAGCGAATGTGACAGTGCCTGCATGCTAAGATTATGTTCACTGAAACCGGTGAACTATGAATAGAGCTGAATTTGGGCCACACCAACACACCATATTATGGGGCAGCAAACTGTCTTTATTGGCCAGATAATTAATTAAAGCAATATCTTAATTTTAGACCCATGGCATTTCAGTATTGTCAGGCTCATGGACATATTCCAGTCATCAAATAGGTTCCTTTCCACACTGGACTAGATAAGAAATCATTTTCTATGTCTCACAAACAGAATTTCAGGCATAGCTGAGTAAAGCAAGACTTTGAGGAAGAAAAAACAGACTTAACTTCTTTTTTGTTTTTTAATTCCTTTTCCTAAAAATACCAAAGCCTTAAAAAATAGGAAATGCTTAGTTAACTACCGGTAAATTCCTTTTACTTCATCAGTTTCTATTGCTGCATCATCGCACAGTGCACAAAAGTAGTGGTAACTTCGGCGACAGGCTCTTTCCTCACAGCCTACAGTAGCTCCTTTTTTGCGACAGAAGTTGCACATCTACAGCAGAATAAGGTTCAGTTTTATAATTAGTAACCAAAATCTTCATCAGTGAACATGCTTAAAGCAACAGACATCTTCCTCCTCTTGCTTCCCCATATAAGCCCATTCTTCCAAATCCTAACTCTGCTTATTTTTTCAGTCAACTTTCTAATCATTAAACTCTCCACGCCTACACATGATTATATTAATCATTCCATAATATGGACCATGCAGAGCTTCATATTTGTTTCTTTTTTTCCCCCAAGTCTGTATTTCATAAGCTCATAAAATCTGTTTGTAACATTATAAATGAGAACCTGAAAAATATTGCCTTACCAGCCGCTTTCCTCTCTTGATTTCATTCAACACTGAAGCTACATCAAACCTTATATCAAGATTATCTGGGTTGTACTCTTCAGATTCCACAAATCCTGAGGAATATAGCTAAAAGAAAAATCAGAACCGCAAAAATTAAGCAGCAGTTTGGTTTCAGAACTTGAATATCTGCTTGACACAAAAGTTACAAGAATAAGTAAAGAGGGCACTTTTTCTCTCAAAAGATCTTCTGAAACAGAAACAGCAGACTGCTGTTACCCCTGCTACCATGTAAGAATCAATAAACCTGAGGAGGGAACTGGTTCATATTTTAGCCCCAGAAAAGTCTATCGTATTCCTAAACTAAATTCCAACAGAGGGCTAAATTCTGTCCTTAGCTTCCTCTGGCTGAGGACAAGAGAGGGCAATCAGAACCTGCTTTACCATTTGAAAAAACTAGAAACCAAAAGATAACCGAAATTATTGTAAAACTAAATCATTTCCCCCCTCTCAATTCTGGTTCTTTAACTGAAACCAGTTTTAACTTTCTAATATTTTGGTAAAACATTATATTTAATTAATTAGTCTGAAGCCTGATAAACTGGAAGTAGTGGCAAAGCAGATTTTCCAGTCTCGTTTTGTTCTCTCCCAGACCCAAAATTGTACTGTCTCAGACCCAAAATTGCCTAGCAACTTCCATAACTATTTTTATACTGGACAAAATTGAAGTCACAATGATAGTGTTCTGTATCAGTGGTATTTTATAGCCAACACACCCAAACATAAGGAACTCCAAAAGGAGTGAGGCAGTGGTGAATTGTGCCAATTCCAACACTAGTCCTATTATTCTCCTCTCACTTTCATGTATCTGACATGTGGGCAATTAAAAAATAAAATTAAAAAACTGCAGCTCATCTCTCAGCTCAGATATCCTGGAAATTGTAGATCACACACTGTCAACTGAAAGAGAAAGGGAAAGTGTCCACTGCAGAAGAAAACAGAACTGTTATGAACAGTCACTTTTGTACTTCACATTGCTGATATATTAACACACCCACCAAACAGTCTTGATGAACTGCAAGGTTTTGCTCCTCCGAGATGTACATTATAGAACATTCCTCACCCTCGGGACAAAATGCACACCTTCTTCTTACCATCTTCGCCATTATCTGGGAAGTAACCTGGATAAGATCATTGTACAAAACAAAACAATGAATACAACCATTAGGTCCGAGCTGGGAGGAACAGGAAAACGGTAGTTGGGGAGGGGGACACACCAGCATTTCCAGAGCTAGCCACTTTTCCACCTGTATCCAACAAAGCTTTGTGATCAGCCACTGTAGCAGCAATTAGCAGGTGTACCTGCAAAGCCAGCAAAACAGTCATGGAACAAAAAAGCCAGCCACCAAGAGCTCAAACTTTTGAGGCTGGAGGAGTAAGTTGCCTGAAGCATCACTATGTATTGTTTGGAAGGGGTGGGTCTAAGAATTAAAACTTTCAAACTTTATTGGAAACATGCAGACCAGTGGCAAAAGTTTCAGATAGAAACTTTCTTACAACAGACAGGTGAGTCATGGCAGATAACTTGAAATACATTTAGTTCAAAGTTTGCTCGCATAGTACCTTGAGTTTGTTCTTCCACATATCTGACTGCAGGCGCAATCAATATCTACCATTTTTAAGAATGAACCAAATGAATTTTCACAAATATTCTCCTGCAGTTCATAGGAAACAAGGATGACAAGCTGTTTCTTTAACATATATGAAAACAGCAAAGGAACTGAAAGAGGATTTGCAGTAAGGAGGGGAAAGAAGAACATCATCTCTCAATGATAGAAGGCAGTTAGACTGCTAGGTGCGACTATAGCCCCTGACAACACACAGCAACTCCTGTTGTCAGTACATCAGAAAAATCCTAACTTCCCTGCTTTCTTCCAACAAACCCCTACTTTTCTTTTCTGCCCTTAGCCTTCCAGCTCTTTCCTCCTCACCTCTTTTTCCCTTCCCAGAGGGTCTTGTCTGTAATAAGTTTAAGGCCACCTGCACATTACAGTAATTCAGAACTACTTCAGTACAATATGCCTAGTGTCCCCAAAGGGCTCAGGCAAGAGGGCATTCAGCATACTAGTAATCAAAACTTTATTTCTGTTGTTGTTGTTGTGCAAGTCCAATGTCAAAATTCTTGGTGACAGCTCGTTCCCACTTAATGTGATACCGTAATACGTTCTTTGCTAGAGATGTCACATCAGCGCACACTGGATCCTGGAGGCTATCTGCAAAGTAAATTAAGTCCTTTGTAAGTGCTGCACCATGGTGTGACTTTACATGTTTATTTTTAATACACAAATGAGAGGCAGCATGATCTAAACACAGCACTTGCAGCCAAGAACTCCTACACTGTACTTCTCACAACCAATGCACACCCGCACGCGTGCACGCACATACACACTTTTTTGTGGCCCCGAGCAAGTAACTAAACCTCTGTTTACTTCACTTCCCCTGCCTTTAAAGCAGAGGCAGCATTTTCCAGTGGCTAGAACACAAAACTATAGTGCGGTTATTTTTGGCTTTGTTACTCATTTACTGTGGGACTCTGGCTGGGTCACCTCATAGTTCTTTCTCTTCTTAAACCTGTGCTTAAACCATCAGGCTCTTCGGGATAGGGACTCGTTCTCACTGGGTTTCTCAAGGACGTAAATGGGGGGGCTGATCTCAACTGGGGACTCTAGGCAAATAAAAAGATGTATAGAAAGTGGGAAGACATCAAAACAGTCATCAGCAGCACTTATATACATACCTTTTTGTGCTGCAAAGCACCAGAGATCTGGCATGTCAGAGCAGATTTGATTAACTGAGCCTGCTCTGCATGCAAACTGACGAGCACTGCACTGTGTCGCTTGCAGTTGTATAAGTGGCAAAATGCACATCAGTGTGAGGAAAATGGCAGTGGTATGCTTTTAAACTAAAACACCTTCACTCCTTTGATGCATTTTAGTACAAAAGCACACTGTGGCCATTTTCTTCACACTGACGCACATTTTGTCCCTTATACAACTGCATGCATTGTAGTGCCGGATGCTTTTCAAAGTGCCCGGCACTGCAGCGCATGTATGTGTAAAAATGCCCCAAGACAAAGAGGCAAGGATTCAAAACACAAGCCACAAACAAAAGGCATAACCAAAGAGATAACAAAAAGGCTGGGGTCTAGGTCTGCATCCCCTCCTTCCCCAGGTGTATGTTGCCTGCGTTGAGCCTGGATACGGATATACAGGCTGACCCGGGTGGACCCTTTGCTGGATGGAGCTCCTAGACCAGTGATTCTCAACCAGGATGATACAACACCCTAAAGTTCAGCAAGATCCTTTTAAGGATGTCACAGAATGCCATGCAATATTAACACAACACTTGATCACAAGTACACAAGATAAACCCAGAGATTTCAAACAGGAAGCCAGAGAAAAACTTCTGACCTGCAGAAGCCTTTGAGTGCCTTGCAACAAAAGAACTGCTTAATTCATAGAATTGCTCAATTCATAGAATCACAGAAAAGTAGGCCTCTAGAAGTAGTCCAACCCTCTTCCTGAAGCAGGATCATTCCTTTACAAGCCACCCCACCTGTTACTAAAACCACAGAGTCAACCCTGTCTCACAACCACAAGATATAGTATTGTAACGTGCTATAGGTAACGCAGAGAGACAACAGCTACCAGTGTCCTGCTACTGTAAGAGTTGTTAGAATACGCCTGAGAGATTATTTTTCTGTCGTTCAAAAAAACAAGCGAAAGATAAAAATTGGCATTTTCCAAGGGGTGCCTTGAGTTTAAGGAGGTTGAGAACTGCTCTCTGAGACTAAGATTTTTGATGGGAAGACTTCTGATGTGTCAACCACATTTTTTTTCAGCCCCATGGCTATAATTATATCTGGCATATACAATCTCCACTATTCCTCCCAGTCTCATGGAGCTGAAAGACAACTCAAGTGATCCGATATAGAGGACACATCAGTGGGGAGAGACACTCCTGATTTCACTCCCTGGCTTCTACTGGGGTTCTGTGATAGTAGGGGGACACTTTCTGGGCACCTCTCTTCCACAGCTCCCAGAAGGGGCTATAGACTGATGCTATATGTCAGGGGCATCAAATTGATCTTGCCCCATGGCTGAATGAGTGGCGCAGGACCAGTCCACCAGCCAGACTGGGTCCATGAACCCCCTCACCTCTACATGCAGGATCCAGTGCCCACTCTAGTTGATCCAACACTGCACCACATGCTGCATCCATCCCAGCTGGGCCAGCAGCCATGTTGCATGTGGTGCCCAACCCAGACTGACTGGATTCAGCATGCAAGGGCAACAGTCCCAGACTGGGCCCATGTGGGTGCTGTGTGCAGCATGGGTACCAGATTGGCCAGGACACATGCCACTGGGGATGTGCATGTTACGCCTTGCCCAGCACATGCTGCATTTGGGTCAACTTAAGACCCATGGCCAACACTGGGGTCCAGTCAGGAACTCAATGGGTTGGATCCGGTTGGCGGGCTGCATCTTTGATACCACTGCTATTAGAAGTGCACCAATAAAGATTTTTTTTGGCCAATACCAATGACTGATTATTAACCAGCCATATCGGCCAATACCAATTCAATAGCTGATATACAGCCCAGCAACTTGGAGAGCAGCTCCCTGCCAGTAAGTCTGTAGCAGGGAATGGGCATGGGGGAAGGAAGGGGCATGGGGGGTGATATGCAGATTAAGGCCTTCATGGTGAGGGAAGAAGGGAGGTGGGGAGTGGGGCAGGGGCAGGCCCTGCCCAGCCAGGGCAGTGAATGCAACCCTAGGAGCAGGGCAGCTCATCCCGGGGGCACACAGGTGGGGGAAGGGGGGTGGTTTCCTGCTGCTGCGCACACCCCCGGATTTGTGTGCGGGGTGAGGATGGGCTGCCCACTGTGGGCTTGGGGCCTGGGACTGTGCCAACCTCTTCCCAGCAAGGGCACTGGGCGGGGGCTGTGCTCAGGGTAAGCAATGGCACTAGGAGGGGTGGATACAGGGAATTTTGGGGTGGCTCTAGCCTACCCCATAGCTCCCCCTCCCAGGCTCGCTCCTGCTGGGCAGTGCCTGCCCCTGCTCCACTCCCTCCCTCACTGTGGGGGCTTCGATCTGTCCCCCCTCCACACCCCTTCCCTCCCACAAACTTCCCAGCCAGTCGCTGCCCTCCAAGCTGCCTGGCTGTTCCTGGCCACATGCGCACTGCAGCTGAGCACATGCACACACCATTTATCAGCGACATTACTGGCCAAAACAAAGTTAATTGCCAACATTAATTTTCCTGTGATGGGTGCCGGTCCAATACAGACCGATACATCAATGCACCTCTAACTGCTATACACACGCCCATCCATCTCCCAACAGCAGGAAGTACAGCATACCTTTCAGAGCTATTTCTACTGCTTTTTTTTCCTGTAAGTGTAAAAAAAAAAAAAAAACACACTTTTTTTTTTTTCCAGTTTGTGGATTTCCCTTAATGAATCACCCCCCATAAGACATATGGAGTGAGCATAGCTATCACCCCTTTCACACATGGAAAACCAAGGCAAAGAAAGCTGAAGTGACACATCCAGGAAGAGAACCCAAGTCTTCGGATGACATGTGCCAGGGCATTTGCCAGCCTCCTGGCCGGTGTTCTGCTCCTTTTGCCTTAGGGGTTTTAAAAATAGTTCTCCCACCCACCAAGAGATTGATGCAATGTATTTAAGAGGCTGGACTAGATGACCTCCTGAGGTCGCTTCCAACCCTAATTTTCTATGATTCCATGTGCTTGTTAAAACACTGCATTTTGCTAAATGAGAAACAGTAACCTAAAGAAGCAGACCACATTTTCTGCGTCTCAGAACGGGGCCCACTACCCTTCTCCTGTAACTGCCAAACTGCCTCTGAGTTAGCTGAGCGCACCAGGGAGCAGCAGGGGAGTAACACAGAGCGCTGCAGGAAGCAGCATCACCCTATTACTACACCCTGCTACTCCCCTGCTGTAGGGCCTAAAATCAGGACAAACACGTTTAATTTTACCAGCCTGACTGGATGTCAAGGACAGGTGCTGAAACCGGGATTGTCCTGGCAGGATAAGGCACCCTAACTATAAACCACTGATCGCTCCCGTAGCCTTCTCCGGGCCTGCTTCGCGGCACAACCAAAGCTGTGACAGCACTCAGGGCAGGCACCTGACAACGCTCAGCAAAGGAACCCGACTGCTTCAGCGGCAAGACATCTGTGTTTCAGTCCTGGGATCTCTCCCTGGAACAGCAGCCACAAGGCAGGGGCGAGGACATGGTGCCTCATGGACGTGCATCCACCAGCAGCTCTGGCGCCCAAGCAGAGACGACAACACAGCAGACCTTCCTCCATGCCCAGAGCACAGAGCAGCCGGCAACGCCCCTGCCACTTGGTTTCGCTTCCTCTCAGGCTAACGGGCTGGGCTTAGCTCTGCATGCCTGGCTGCTCCAGGCAGCAGGTTTCCCTACTCCCCAGGGTGCTGTGGACAGCTGGACTGGGCACCTCGCAGCTGGTGGGGCAACTGGATGTCTCCTGCAAGTGATGCACCCCCACCCGCCGGGAGCAGGGCAGGCCAGGGCAGGCGTGGGAGGGCTGGGGGGGCCTGGCACCCACACATGCCTTGGCCCCCTGGCTCGTGCCTGCAGCCCTCGGGGTGCTGCAGAGGGGCAGGCCCCCAGGGCCAAGGAGGGCTTTAGACTGGTGTAACGCTTGCACTGAAGGGCGGAGCCAGCCCCTCCCCCACCCAGGCCCGCGAGGCAGGGGCGCATCGCCGCGGGGGGGGGGGGGGGCACACACCCGCACGAGGCGCCCCAACAGGAGCGCTGGGGGGGAGCGCCACCTTCACTCCTCCCCCCCCCTTCCGCAATGGTACTTACTGCGGGGCGGACGAAACCATTCGCTCCCCGCGCTTCCGTGCAGACAGGACACGGGACTACCAACCGCCGCTCCCAAGCAGCGAGGAAGGGGCGCGGGGACACGGAAGTGGGCGTGCCCAAGTGGGGGCGGAGCTCATTCGCATGCGCCACGCATGCGCCAGCCATCTGGGCATGCTCCGTAGGCGCCAATGAAGCCGAGGGCCCTGCCTCGTGGCCACGCCTGCTGCCAGGCCCCGCTGCCTTTGGCGCCCGGGCCAGGCAGGTTGTGCCGTTTCCTCTGACCGGAGAGGGATCAGGAAGCTGCCGCTCCCCCCCTCGCGGGGGAGGGGCCGAGGGCGGGGCGCGGCTGCTGCTGGGCTGGGCCGTGCGGTTCGGGCCCGCGTCCACCTCCAGACACGGGCGCACCCTGAGGGCCCTGCTAGGCAGCGGCTGGGTGTATCCTCTGCTGCGTGCAGTTGCTTGGTGGAGAAGATCGTGTGGTGTGCAAGACCTTGCTTTGGCTTCTCTTGTACTTGAGAGAAAATAAAAGCCCTCAGACACATGCCTGGTGTAACACGGTGCTGAGGGAGTCGCCTCACTTCAGAGCTCATGAGCCCTCAAGGCCCTGTGAGCCCCTAACTAGCAGCCCGCCCGCCCCGCGCTGGCACAGGCACAGGCACAGGCACACTAGGCACGTGCCTGGGGCCCCTGAGCTCGGGGGCTGATCCTTCGCAGTGGCAGCTCAAACGGCTCCATTTGCCTCCCTTCCTACCAGCCTCAAGGCGACTGCAGTAGGGTGGGGAGAGGGGTCTTGACTGGGCCAGGGCCCACTACATGGTTAATCCAGCCCTGCCTGCTGGCAACACACTGAAGGACTGCAAGGCACAGGGGAGATTACCCAGGACCTCTGAAGGGCATGAAGCAGCATGGACCAAAAGAAAATATCTAACGCCTAGTGATTTATCAGGATGGTATCCCTCAGCTAAGATATGTATGGGGATGCTATATCACTGACATGGGTGCTATGTCAAACATTCTGAAGAGGGACAAAGTCAAGCAGAAAAGGACAGGCTCCTAGTTCACATCCACCCTACTTGGCAGTGTCCTGATGGTACTCAAAACTCAGTTGTTGTTTCTTATTCACCTATAGTTGTTTGATAACATAGCACATAATACGTACTGGAAAATGATAATTTCCATAGCTCCCTCTGGCTGTTCCCCTGCATTTCAGGAGACATCTCCAGATTTCCCTTGCATTCTGCCTCTGGTGTGTGTACAGGTATCCCTTGATTTATGCAGGTTTGATTTTTGCGAATTTGCTCTTATGCAATGACCCTTTTTATAACTGAACTTCATTATATGTGAGGAAAATTTGCTGTTATGCGATCAGCATAAGTGCGCTCCCCCCCCCCCCAAAAGCAGGTAAGTCTGTGAGTTTGTGAAGGGAGGGGAAAGGGCTGTGGAGCCGGTGCCTCACTGCAGCCCCTGCTGTAGCTGCTCTGGGAGTGTCTGATGCCAGTGGTTTGCAGCTGCTGGACTGCACTGTGCCCCAAACCCCCAGGGCTCAGCTTCCCCTGGGACACTGTGCCCCGAACCCCCCGGTGCGGCATAACCCAGGGGCTGCAAGCAGGCAGCATCCGATGCTCCCAAGGCTGCAGCAGGGGCGGGCAGCTGCTTGCAGCGGGATGAGAGCAGGCTGGGGCCAGTGGCCGCTGCAGGCTCTTCCCAGCACTTGGGGTGGGCTCTGGTGATGGGAGGGGGGCTGCTGCCACCCCACAACTCACCATAGCCCCCCAGAACTTGCCACCCCAGCATTGCTGCTGAGCGCCGGGAAGAGCCTGGTGTTGTCACCAGCCCCAGCCTGCTCTCATCCCACTCCAGGCTGCTGCCCACCCCTGCTGCAGCCTTGGGAGTGGCAGACCTCGCCTGCTTGCAGCTGCTAGGCTGCACTGCGCTGAGGGGTTTGGGGCATGGTGTAGCCCAGTGACTGCCGGGAGCAGCCAATGCCAGCTCCCGGGGCTGCTGAAGCAGGGGCAGCGATGAATGGGGAGAAGTTGAGTGAGTGGGACTGCCGTCCACCCCGAGCACCGGGAAGAGCCTGGTGCAGCCCCAGGAGCAGCAGATGCCACCTGCTTGCAGCCACTGGGCTGCGCCGTGCCCCCTTTCCCCACCCCTTGCCTAGCTCCAGCCTCACTCACTCACTGCTGAGTGAACATATCTCTGTTTCATTGTAAACTGGGTTTGCTTTATGCAAATTCATTTTATGCACCGTTCCCTGGGAACGCATCTACTGCATAAATAGAGGGAAACCTGTGTATGTTGAAGAGGTCCTGGCTATCCTAGTTAGACTCCATCTACTGAGGTTCTTGTCAGGGTTAAAGGTTGTTTGGGTGCCTTTGAGGCTGCCCAGGATGTGCTGGAGTTTAGTGAGGACCTCCTTGACAAACATATTGATGTGCTCCTCATCACAGGAATAGGTACCATGATCATTACCAGAAGTGTTAGTGTTGTCACTGGTATTCTTATAAGCTATAACACTGCCAGAGTTCACTGTTTTGCTGCAACAGAGTAATGCATCACAGAAATATTTCTCCCCCCTTAATTTGTTTTGCAAGTTGCTTGCATATCTTGGTGCTGGGATGTCTGTTGACAAGGTGGAACTGAATACATTTCTTACCACAGAGGCCAGGAAAATCCAGCAGTTTCCAACAAGTCCATGAAGAGGTATGGGACACAGCTACTATAATGGATATGTGACAGCAGGTCTGTGAAATAGCCACAGGCTGGAATTTCAATGGGAGACAAGGTTCTTTGGATAAATCCAATATCTTTTGTTAGACCAACTCAAATAGTTGGAAAAATTATTCTTAGCAAGCTTTTGGGCACAAATACCCTTCATCAGGCTGAGGCAGAATCTGCAGATGGTCTGTGCTCTTCCTGGATTGAGCAGTAAAGGAGCCAGAGACCAGTACAGTACATATGCAAGAAAGACAGTCAGTTAAAATGTAAATTGAGGTGGTCAGTAGGTGAGAGAGGTGGGGGAGGGGGAATGAATGTTACTATAGTCATTGGATGAGAGACAGGAGGGTAGGGGGAGAAGGGAATGAGACTAGCTGGTAAAAAGTGGAGGGTTAACCTGGGGAGTCAGATGCTAGGCAGGTTATAACATGTCATAAATCCAATATCTATATTTAGTCCACAATTTTTTTGTATCCAGTAGATTGATGAAGTTCATAGGCTTGTCTGTGAAAGGTATTTTGTAAATTCCCTTTGAGGATTTCAGTGGAACACTTCTGGCAGCACACTTGTATTTAAACAGGAACATGACATCCAGTCAAGACAGACAGGGAAGACAGCTGGGGAGGATTTAAATTGTTCTCTTTTACAAGATGGCTGGTAGCCTCCATCTGAGATCAGTCTGGTTATTTACAGTTCCAGCATCAATCACAAACTCACCGTTGCCCTTTGAACCGGTTTGTAAACTCTTCAAAGAACAGACTCTCTTTGTATTTGTACAGGGCCTAGCACAATGAATTTCTAGTCTTAGTTGGGATCACTAATGCAAGGTCCTAAAATGGGCCAAAATCACCTTAATAAAATTGTGTGAGTCAGCACCTCTAATTATCACATAAATACCAGGAATTACTAACAGGAGTTAAAAATAAATAAATCAGAAGATAGGCCAAAGAAAAGGATCTAATTAGAACTATTTGAGAACCTAGCACCTGCATCTTGCAATTATTTAACTTCTGGAGTAAATATTATTATTAACTCTCCTACCCCAATTCCCAGAAGCCAGGGAAGATAGCCAACTTCACCTGCCTGGTCATCAAAAAAACACAAAGACAAATCCAGGGTGCCCTAGACAGAAACTCAGGCTATATCATAGAAGGGTAGAGTTTGAATACAAATCACTAATCTACTTTTTAAAAAGTTGGTAATTTTAAATAATTCCTAAAATAAAAGCAAGCAGGCATTTCTAATACAAGACAATTTATTGATATTAGGGTCTTATATTTACAGTTTCTCTTTGCACACCCATACAGGTGAGTTTTTCAGTGCCAGCATACAAAAACAATGCTTCTCTGATTATTTACTTTCTCCTTTGTGTGCACAAAGTATATGCTGCTAACAGTGGTTGGCCATTCTGGAGTTACTTAGAATAACCTAATTAGTACTTCCTAAGGTTCTTGTTACATGCAGTCAGATAGAAGTATAATGAGATGACAATAAAGCTAGTTTCTCCTCTCATCAAGCTATGACTATCACAGACACATTCTCTAAAGACTATTCCATTCATTCCCAAAGGCTCCTTTTTCCAAAACACGTTAAAAAAATACATTTAGATGTGGTAGAAGCAATTTGATTTAATGTGCTTCATATGTTCTACCTTATGCCACCTACTTGTATTCTTCATACCACAGGCAGGAAACAGAACCACCTTGAAGGGGGTTAGGCTGGGCTATATATATATTTTTGTTGTATGGTAGACAAGCTGCATGACACTCTTTTAAAACAATTTAGTAGAAATCAGGGCAATCTTTAGTCTCCATTTGTAGTAATGCGAGGTAAGATTTTCTTTTATAGGAGTCTTAAAATCATTACCAAATACAATCTTAACAGGATAGAATTTGTAACATCTTATGGTAGAAAAACTGTCCCTTTCAACTTGAAAGGAATTTTTTTTTAAGTATCAAATGAGAAATTCTATTCTGGGGAAGCATGTCTTTATAAAAAATGCCTTTTTCTTAAAGGATTTTCTTTTGTTCGATTCTTCTTGATGGGTAGACATTTTTATATGCTCTTTTTTTGTATCTCCTAAAACAGTTCAGCACTTTATTCATCCCTTTGAGATTTGACTTTACTGGCTTCTCTCTTTATAAAATATTTAATTGTTGCATCTTTTAAAGAGATGCATCTAGCTTCAAATGTAGACACAATGATTTCCCAGTCTCTCTCCCTCTTTCATGAGTAATGCAGCCACTGTGTGCTTGTTCAGTATAATCTTAGGGACAGTACCCATTTCTGTAATTGTTAAAGGATGCAAAGGTGTTTCCAGGTAGAGCATGGAACTTTTCAAGGCAATTTTTCTCTAAAAGGAGCATGACTGTAGCATCTAGGACATGTTGATGTTGCTTGGTATCATCTTAATTATTTTTTATCTCTTAATTTTGGTGTCCAAAATTGCTTGTCTTTTAAAAATTGCCACCTTTTTATAAACTTGAAAAAATTCAAATTCCCAAAAACAGTAGCAAGGAGCCTATGGCAACTGAGATTCCTCAGCTTCTCCTGCACCTGGGGCACTGTTGGATGGATAGATCAAAGGTATGCCAAGTAGCCTTGGATTGAGGCATATAGCTGAATTGATCAAGAGAAATTCAGTCAGAACTATCCTACCGTCTTCAGGAAAGTGCAGACCCACCTTATCTCACACTTACCCTCCTAAGAGAACACAACATTTAATAAATCATCTTTAGATACTACAAATGGTCAAACACATAGACATGGTCCTCCCCTCCATTCAATTATAAATATATAACTGGCTGGAGCTGCTAGATCCACCTTGTTCTTACACCTTTGTAAGAACAGTACTATCCG